CGAAGTTTCAATCGCACTGTACGTGCGCGCCCGCACGTGGTATTTTGTGGAAGAGCCACACTCAAGGGGCCAAAGAGCCGCATGTGGCTCTCGAGCCGTGGTTTGCCGACCACTGTGATAGGATGACCATTCCTGCATCCTTTCTGTCTCTAGGAGTGACATTGACCTTCACCATCACCACCCTCGTTTCCTTGGATGAAGTACTGGGTTTTATTTATTATCCCAAGTTGGTAGAGAAGGAGCAGTTTCAGAGCCTTTCACTTGGTCTCCCCCACCGTGAGAACTGAAGGCTAAGACCTGAAGTGGAGCCTGCTCCCGCTACCCTATATATAGTCTCAGGTGCTGGGGGAATGACCACTGGATGGCTCTATAGACCCGTGGACCCATTGTAAGCTGGCTATTGTGCAGCACTTTGCTTATTATCTGACCTCCATAAGTGCCCACTCTCACAGAGGGCCCATGATAATACTTTGGGTTTCTGGGTAACCAGATCCTTCCAGTTCCTGCACAATGCCTGGGTATTTCTCTTTCCCCAATATGTTGTTAGCTGAGAAGATGATTGTAGGTATTAGAATAATCATTACAGTAAATACCTGTTTCAGTGTCACTGGGTCCTTCTTCCTAGGGTCCCCACCCACCTTTTAAGTCATGGGCTCTCTGTGGTCTGGTTCTGGAAATTGACTCAGATCTGAGAACTGAGCAAGAAGGATGCCTTTTTGTTGAGGCAACTGCCCTCAGACTCCTGCTCCTCCATTCTTGCTTTCTTCTGCTTATAGATGTTAAACAGCACCCTGTTGGCTACCCATCGATTTTTTCCCCCAGGGACACCTTGTACTATTCAATTCCTTCACAACCTTCTGTATATCAAGCCCCTAGGTGCCCCCCTGACCTTGCCATCTGTTATAGCAATGACTAGAGCCTGCAGCCTCCAGACTTCTGGGAGTTATAGCCACCACCTGGCTTCTATTACCTCTGTGGCTCCCTGGATCGTATCTGGCCCAGCCCTGTGTCTCCGTACCATCATCCCTGGCCTGCACTCTGAACTCCTTTGTGATGCGGGTGCTCCTCTCGCATTGCCTATGTGTGTGGTCTGTCCTTTGATCCTCCTCTGGAACATAACCCTCTCCCTGGTCTCCTAGCTCCACACAGTAAAGCACTTCAGCAAGCCCACTTCCCTCCTTCTGCAGCGGCCTGAGCAATTCAGCTGCCTTCCTCCCTGGAGATTTCCCTTGGCTGCCTCATCCATAATATGCCTTCTCCCCAGGGACAGCATGCATCCAGGCGGGGTACAAAGGCCTGGCCACTGTACTTCAATTGAGGACAACACTGCAGGGCCATCCCAGCTCCAGAGCTGCCCATGGATTGGCTGAGAAGCCCCCTTCTGCCTCCGCCCAGTCCTCTTTCCTTTACTCCCTTGTAGGTGTTGTCCCTGAGGACCACACCCACCCCCTCAACAACCCTCCCACACAGATTTAGCTCAGAGGCTGTTTCCAGGGAGCCCAACTTAAGGCAACTGCATTTTCCCCAGAAGTGGAAGCTGCTTTGATACAGAAAGTCTTTCATGCACACCTCCATGAGGAAGTTCTAGAGGCTGAATACTGAATTAAAGGAGAGACTAACTCTGAAGAATTATGAGGCATGACCTGTCTTAGAACCAGGTGTAGACTGCTCATCCCGATTCAGGCTGAGAGCCAGATGAGGTGGCCACAGGATGTGATATGGGCTGCAATGGGTGGGTGGTACTGTCACTGAAGTGGCCTTTCATTATTATTTTTTTAATATGCCAGGCATGACTGTTCCAAATGTTGGAAATGACTGGTTCTGAATCTGAATTCACCTCAACATGGACAATTGCAACATCTTCATTTGCATATTCTACTCTCACAAAAATTGGCTCAAGATTTTCTTCATCCACATTTTAACTTCCTTTACTTTCTTCTTCTATCATCCCAGCCCTTCTTTCCATTTAACATGAACAGACATGCCATTTTATTTTTTTTTTCCCCTTGGAGAGGGTGGTCACACCAGGTTTCACCATAGAATTTTTATAACTCACCACCTGGATTGTTATTGCACCAGTCAGCACCAGCTTGCTGGCTGGTTTCCCTGCCTCCAATTCATCCCTCTTGTCTAAACAGCAACCAACCAGTTCCTGGTTAAGGCGGGGAGGGGGGGAACCAAGATGATTCAGTACTGTCCATCTAGCTCCAGGCTGGGCCCTGAGGAAGGCCACAGCTTGGCTGTGGGTCTTGCTCACTCACCAGAGATGAGCTCTCCAGAGATTCCAGGTGAGCACTTTTCTTTATTGCACAAATAAAATATTAATCCCCCAGAAAAGCAAAACCAAAAAGAGAAAACCACCCTTAATCTCACTACCCAAAGATCACCACTGTTAGCATTTTGATGTGTAACCCTCTTGAAATGCAAGATTAAAATTACTGAAAATACGTAATACTTTGATAGGATGAAATGTTTCTTACCATCATTAATGTGCATTCCTTTCATTCCTCATGATGTAAACACTTTTTCATGCTTATATGTTGGATTTCTTCTTTAGCAAATTACCTGTTCATGCCCTTAACCCATTTTTCTATTAAATATTCATTTTCATTAGAGTGAGCTGTAAAAATGTTTTATATATGTAATCATTGCCTGTTGTGTATGTAGCTTGTTTGTCTTTCAACTTTGTTACTTCATGTATACATGTATGCATCATTTTTAAAATTTTTATGTAGACAAATTTGTCCAATTTTGTATTGTGGTTTCTGCTTTTGATGTCATATTTACCTTCATTCTCAATCCCCAAATTACATATTTACCAATTTTTCCTAGTATGTCAATGACTTTGTTCTTCCTTAAATCTACCAGGAGTTTATTTCAATGGAAGGTAGGACAGAAACATATAGTCTCAAATATTTTCTGAATGGACTTTTACGACAAATAGCTACATGTGCCCATCCCATGGGGAGGGC